TAATAGAGATGAAGTGGAGAATTTATTTTTTTAATTACTCGAGCGGAGGGTGTGCGGGTTTTGAGCGGTGGCGACATTTGGTTTTTCCGACTTTGCGTGGAAGATGAGTCATTTTAGGTGAAAATAGAGACCTACGAGGAAATTCTAAAGTTTCAGTTTAGGGGATTTTGATCTGGCGAGCCATATTTTTTCCTCGTTCTTGGAAGTAATCTTAATTTTAATTATGATTTTGATTAAATCAATGCCAGGCCAATCGAGCCAATAGAAGGAATTGGCTGCATGACACATTGGGACTTCCATTACGAGTAATCGAAGCCGGTCGCTCTCAAATATAAAGTAAAAAGAAAATGTTGAGAAGAGAACCCAAGTAGCCCACAAAAATAGCCATCAAATAGCCCCCAAACAGCCATCAAATAGCCCCAGAGTCCCGTCCCTCCCCGACAGAGACGGAAGAGAGCCCGAGCGTGTACCTACGAGACGGCAGCGCCCTCCCCGACGCGACCGAGGTCCGAACGCCGAGCCCGGAGCGGGCTCTAGCGTACGTGGACTACGCCCTCAAGACTCTGTCCACAGCCGCCTGGCGGCAGCACCTGCTCGTCACCCTGCACGTCTATCAGTACAGCCTCGTGGAGTCCAAAGGGCCCGGCAAGAACGTCTCAGGTATGAATCGCATCGTGGTATCGCAAGATTTAATATAATATACCTTGTATATACCAAGGATTATTTACTTCAGAATAAATATTAAATTTTACAATTAAATTAAATTTTACGATTAAAAACAAAATATTGAATATGTAATACCAGATATGGAAGATTAAGTGCCAAACATCGAATATTAAGTTCCAAGTATTAAATACTTGATTTCGGATGAAAAACTTGATTATAACGACCCCCCCCCCCCCTCTTCCCCCCAGTGATCGGCGGCCGAACGCGCCTGCACGTGCTCCACGTCGGGGGAGGGAGGCCGGGCGTGGGCGCCGGGCCCTGCCCCGCCCTGCCCCAGTCGGGGGCGGCCCACGTCCTCGTCGCTGTCTTCAATGGGGCCAGGCATCTTCCGTACAAGTGAGCGAAATTTTTTTTAAAGAAATGCCGGATCATTTCACGGTATTTTATTTGTTATGGTAGTATTCACTGTATTATTCATCACCATGAATTTTTTTTTGACAAAACAAATATTGTTTTTGCGTTTTTGACAATGTAAATATATTCAGCGTGAAGTT